ATGGGCATGCCAACTGTACCCTTTTGTAAATGCTTGAAAAGAATATCTTCTTTTAAGTTGTCTACTCTTTGGATCAAATTTAAGTGTCTAGAGGCTCAAATTCATATTATATTTCCTATAACTACTCATATAATTGGAACCCAAAAATCGAATAATCCTTTGAAGTAGCTAAATATACAGATTTCTCAAAAGCAACCCATGGGGCACACGTGTATCTTTCAGAAATTCAGACAACCAAATACCCGATATTTTATAATTTTAATGGCGCCTGCATTTTCCGAAATATGTTTTCCTAAAACTGGGCAGCTTACAAAATTAAACTTCTTTCCTCAACTAATTGTCAATTAAAGAGGGACATCTCCGTTGCATTACTAATAAATAAAGGCAAATAATTAATTAATTTCCAGACATAGTTATTCACGAGATATTGTGGTTATAAATTGCGCGATCACCAGTGCTAGGGTTCTGCTACTTCTAAGCTCCCAAAATCACCTCCATTTTTCATATTGAGAGAGAGAGATTTTAGAGAGAGAAGAGATGGGAAGAAAGTTCTTCGTCGGAGGCAACTGGAAATGCGTAGATCTTCTTTCCCTCTTCTTCTTAATCAAATGGCTATTCTTATGATGAAATTGCTCAGCATCATTTTTATGCCCTATTTCACTGTTTAATTTGAGTTTTCGTCAACTCAAATCAACGAGTTTCGTCATATACGTAAATGTCATAGATTATTAGTTTTTAGGTTTATGTAGCTTGATGTCTGATTAGTTGATTGCTTCCGCTTCTAATTTTATGGAATGACTAATTTAGTGAATGATTTGCTATTTCATAGTTATTGTGATACATTTTCCGAATTGATATGATTGTGTTCAAATTTCAACTAGTGTGATTCAATTTTTACCTTGGCATAATTTTTCACCTCGTGATGCATTTCAATGGGATCAAAATTTTGATCTTTGATGTGTATTTTGAGTTTTGGACAGTTGAAGGCTATCGAAAGAAAGAATTGATTATATGGATCGGTAATATGGGTTTGAAAACTGGACACTCCTTACCTTCTGACTGTAAATATCTTATTCCATTCAAAACGGCTATGTGATTGACGATTTATTAGATTAAATTCACTAGAATGGATACGCTATGCTTTTGGTTTTTCTCAAGTGTTTAATAGAAGATGCGTTGATGTTCCTATTCTTGGTCATAATTGAACCATTTCTGATGCAATCGATTCAGTAGAAGCTGATTCATCCTGCAATAACAAGACTTGTCCTTTTTGTTTTCAGATGGTTAAGATTTAAGAACCCACTATATTTGTAGTAAGGAGATCTTACAAAGTCACTTGGTTATTTGCCTTAATGAAAGAAATGAACATATATTGGGTTGTTTGAGGCGACTTCGTTTTTTGAAGCTTTCATTTTATTCTGGCAAGAAAACTTGTAAATTTTTCTGATCCGTGTGGGTCACATGCATTTGTTTCGGCTCACATTGATTTCTCCATTCTAACTAATATAAAGTCCTTGCAGCCCAGAACCCTGAGAAACAAGTTGCTATTGGGCTATTTTTATGGTTGGGTATTATGTATATTTTAATTTTATTTTTACAATTCTATCTGTAAAAAAATTATCTTTCCAATTTGCATCTCAATTGCTTAAAGGCTTTTATTTTCCTTTATCTTTTGAGATTTTTATTGCATAACGTGTATGGTGTTTTCCTGCTGCGCTCCAGAAAATTAAGCTCGATGTGGTTTGTATTTTGTTCTTCTTCGGGAACATAAAACTCAAGGAGAATCATGCCTTTTTCTTGAACCCTGATCATTGCTCATGAGTTCTTTCATTGCCCACTCGTCCTTTATTGGTGATATACTATCTCTTTTTGTTAGTTGTATGTAGTTTTATTTCTGTGGCCTATTATTCTTATTCAATACAAACATCTGTTGTTTTCTTAGTGCATGGATATGGCATAGTCTATTATTAGCATATGATATAAATCTTATGGCATTGTTTTATGTTTGCTTTTGGTAAAAAAGGACATGCTTATAAGTTTGAGTGTGGTTTCTGTTTGAATGGCAGAATGGAACTGTTGAAGAGGTTAAAAAGATTGTGTCCATGCTCAATGAAGCTGAAGTACCATCGGAGGACATTGTGGGTATGGACTTGGAATAAGGATTTATTTCTTGCATCTTGAATATTCTCCTGGGATTTCTGTATCTCTTTTTGGGTCCTTTCATGCATTTACTGTTTTTGCTTAGATAACTAAATTAAGCAGAATTTTTGTCCCAAAGCAACGTTTATTCTCCTTATCAAGAGAACTACTAACATTTTGTGCTGTGAGAAAGAATTCACACTGATTCCGACACACTTCTAGCCCTAAGAAACATCTTCTTAGTATTTCAAGTATGACCTAGTAGAGTTCAACTACACATGTGCTTGTTAAGTCTAGTCTTTGACTTGAAAGTTGTGTAACAAAAGTCAGTTCAACTTTTTGATAATATGCTTCTGTGCATTCTGGAAATGTTACCAACACACAACAAATCCCGAACAACGCAAAAATGGTTTCTGGAAATGTTACACCAACACGCAACAATCCCAGGCAATGCAACCTCTCCAAAAATGGTTCAAGTAAATGGCTATATATGTCTTGGGAGTCAATATGACTTGCTACATATGACTTGGGAGTCAACCTGACTTGACATGCAGCTGAGTCCTGATCCGAATCCCCTTTAAACATTTACATGATCATGGTTTTTCTGCTCATGGTAGAGTGGAGAAGTTCAGTGTGCGTCGAAGCTCCAAAAAAGTAAGGTAAAGGACGCAGTCACATGCTGCCTTTCAAAGGGTATGTAGGTTTTACTTTGGTGTATCTGTTTAGCGACTCAGATCCTACTTGGGTTGGGTGGCAAATTTATGATGAGTTTGTGAGAGTGAAGAAGGCATTTGAAGTGGCTGGGATTCTTCTTGTTGAATTCAGAGTTTTTGCACCATCTTTCTTAGGTTCACTGTTTGTTGTTGGACTTGATTAATTAATGGTATCAGATGTACTTGCAGGGAATTATTGTAACATTGAGGATTGCAATTATTTTCAAGGAGATCCTTGAGGTTCCTAGCTCATTCTCTGTCTAAGCATGTAAAAAGTAAAGCTCGAAATATGGCTGATGATGTATGCGGGAGTTCCCATGTTTGTATCATGTCCTAAAAGGAGTCACTTGAAATATTTTTGATTTAGAAGAACTTCAAATCAAGTATAACAGAAGAAAACAAAAGAAGATCATATGATCTGATAAAGCAAAATTTACTGTAAACCCTTTTTGCCAGTGCACAATGGCCACTAAATCTGTTCAAACAGAAATACGATACAAATCTCAAATCTCTGTACTGAAGAAAAAACAAGTCTCCTTAACCATATTTACAGCGATAACCAAAGTTCTAAATGTAATCCGGTTTCTATAGAAGTCCCACATCTATCCTAATGGAAATAGAAACTATTAAATCTTTTAAATGTACCCCTAATAGAAAATAGAAAGCAAGGAAGTCTAGAAACAAAAATGCTGTGACTTCCTGCTAACTAGAATGGAATTGTGCTAAAATCCACCCCATTCCATCTATGGAGCCCGATGGTTCTGGTTCCTCTGGTCGAGCTACCCCAAATCGATGTATATTAAGGCCTGTTTAAGCATATGCTATAACAATTATTGGAACTCCAAATATAACCCTGAAAAATTCCATTTCATTTGCAACATTTCTAGAATTCCGAAGGTGTCCTTGCTCTTATTTCCAACGGGTTTCCTTAATTCCTTCTGGGGTTTGGATCTTAGGACCTGGGCAAGCTTGGGAACCACATCAATTCCTCTACTAGCAGCTAATGTAAATCATTGAAAATTCATTTATCTGTAGCCTATGGGGAAAATACTACATGTGTCAAGCTTGTGAGGACAGCAAAAGGGAGCATAATAGGGAAAGGGAACCTGATGGTCCTAGTACCTTTTGAGGAGTCTATGATGTAAGAAAAATCACATGTATATAACAAAACAAAAATCACATATTTTCTTTGACAAATGAAAATGCGGAGGGTAGAGAAGGTTCATTTAAGGTCTTATCCATACTTGACAGATTGATGATTGTCTAGTGTGTAATTATTGGATTTGTCTGATGATAGATTTGTTTAATCATGTAATTTTTTCTGTGCTTGGGTAATGGGGACATCATCAATGCCTGATCTTATTTTTAGTTATTTGTATGATACCTTATTTGCTGTAATTTCTATTCTACCCTCATAAGTCCTCTCAGGATGTATTTTCCTGTTAGGCAGAGCAGTCTGGAATCTGTTGGAATATCAGCTGAGCGTTATTTGTCATATGGTGTATTTGATAGACATGTCCTTTCGCAGCGTTGTTGACGTTTTTCCATGATTTTGCTTGCAGAGGTTGTTGTAAGCCCTCCCTTTGTGTTTCTTCCTTTAGTAAAGAGTTTGCTACGTCCGGATTTCTTGGTTGCAGCACAAAATTGTTGGGTGAGGAAGGGAGGTGCTTTCACTGGTGAGATCAGGTATGTGGGAACTTGTTTTTTGAATTTTTATCTAAAATATGGTTAGTTTAAAACTTTCATCTTTTGAAAAAAAAAAATCACAATCTTCTCAATTGGCCCTTATTTGAAATGTTTAACCAATATGAGTGCATTATAATAGGAACACCTTATCAAACCTAGTGATGTGCAACCAATATGATAGGAAACTGATATAACTTTTAGAGTTTCATACAACCAAAATGATAGGAAACTGACATAACCAAAATGATAGGAAACTGACATAACTTAGGGCGCTCCCTGATTCCTTTATTTCATCAACATTGTCTTGAGCCATAATTATTTAGTCTTTTGGTAATTATTTGCAATTAGTAATTTCACGAAAATTATTTATGCTGTTAGTAATTTTATTTTGGAAAGGTTATACCTGGATCACAAACAATATATGGTTTGTCCTGCTGTTTATGGACCAATGATTCAAAATTCGATGATCCAGATCAGGAATTGGTCCCTATCGATTCGACCCAATTACTTGAAATCGGGAATTAGTCTGACTCAGATGGATTCGCCCGGTTTCATTAGGGAACCAGGTGAATCTGTTAGGGAACTGAGCCATTGGAACCTATTGAATCGCCTAGCTTCCAACCATTATATGTTTTTTTTTCCTTTTTTTTTCAATTTTTTTTTATTTTCATGGACCAATTCTCACACTAGAGAATCGGTCCGATCTCTCGATCCTGATCAACGATTCCCTGTTCCGAAATTGATTTTCGGAAGGCCGGTTCACCCAACCGGTCTTTGTTTATGAAACTGCTATGGATAGTTCTGAATTTTGATACTAAATCAAGAACACTATTTTGGTTTGTGCTACTTTGTGAAGTTTTTGCTTCTAGGGAATTAGTTGTTTGATATGTGAATTTACAATGAAGGTGCTGGATAATGTGCTTGGGAAATAGCTGAGCCTTATTTGCACCATGAAATTCCATGTGTAATATTCGAGAAAGAGATCATGTTCTAGTTGATTATTGGAAAAAGAAAAGAGATGAGAAATATTTCAAGAAAATGCCTGTTGCTTATACTTTACAAATTTCAACAAGTGTGGCTTCTTTTGTTTATCCTACTACTACTAGTTTGTGGCACAATACTATCATGCAATACAGAAATTAGGACCACAACTGTAAGGAATAGTTTATAGTGGTGTTCCTGAATATAGGTTGCCAAATAATTACCATTTGTACTTTTACACACTTAATGGTGCTTGATTCTTTTTGCAAACTGAGGTCACACTGAGTATATGGATTGCCAATCTTTCAAGATCTGGGGTAAGTATGGGACTCCAACCATCATTATCATCTTCATCAGAAGAGCCTTTTCCCGACTATTTGGGGTCAACTATATGAATACTGGTCTGTCATTCTACTCTATCAAGGACCATAGTCTCAGTGATGCTCCAACCAACAAAGGTTAAATAAAACACTTCAAGTTTTCCAAAGTCTGTTGACAAGGCTGCATATGCTTAGGAAACTAATGATGAGGATAAAGCTATGACGAATCGACACATTTAACACTTGCTATATTAAGGGAGTCTTACTTACTTTGTGCTACTTCTCACCAAAAATAGCCAGTGTTTACTAGCATTTTCCATAAGCATTCATACATGCCATCTTTGGAAACTGAAGTATGTTTATACCAGCGGAATGTATATATTTGTCTCATGATTGTATTCTTGGCATATAGATATTCTCTTTGCACATAATTTGGGATCTTTTTTATTTTTATTGGTAGATTGGTAGAATGAGTATAGCTGAGATTAAGATGTTGAGATAGATGAGTGGCAGGACAAGGAAGGATAGAATTTAGAATCAATGCATTCAAGGGAACCTAGGGGTAGCTCCAATAGAAGATGAAATGAGGGAAAGTAGACTTAAGTGGTCTGATCATGTGGAGCTTCGGCCTAGAACAGCACCAGTTACGAGGGGTGATTTTGTTCAAGTTGAAGGCTCTAAAAGGGGAAGGCTCCAAAGGATATGGATAGAAGTACTGAGAAAAGATATGGCAACTTATGGTCCGACTAAGGATATGACCTTTAATAGAGCGAAATGGTGGAGTAGGATTTGTGTAGCTGACCCAAATGATTGGGATTAGGTTATGATGATGATGATGATTGTGTAGATTGCAAGTTTGTATGCTTGGAACTTGGTGAAGTTCTTAGTTAATTGTAAGCATACCGATTCTTTCACATTGTTTTATGGTTTGGCCTTTCTTTTGCCCACTAGTTTGGGTTTCCCTCCATTTTGAGGCTCATATTTACATATTTTATGATATAAGAAAGGATTTTTATATTAATTTCATATGAATACTACTTCATATGAATACTATTGCATGGACTCAGTTATTATACCTGTTTATAATCATTTGAATCAAAAGCACCTTGCTCACCAAAGAGAGATAAAGACTTCTCCTTTTCTTGTTAGAAAATAAGTCGTTTTGACTTGAACTGTATAATCTGCTAATTTCAAAAGCGATGGAAACTACTGAATGTTGAATGGGCAACATAGTCTTCCTTTATGGATTTTCGATCCGATGAAAATGGCTTTGGTTGGTGCAGTGCTGAGATGCTTGTCAATTTGGGGATTCCATGGGTCATTATTGGTCACTCTGAAAGAAGGTCGCTGCTTAATGAAACAAATGAGGTATTTGGCTTGTGGGATCTCTCTGGTTTACAAGTATTCCATATTTTGTTAAGCATGGCTTTCAGCACCAGTTATCTGCTTATTGTTTTTATCATCTTTTGCACTACTTATTGATCTACGAGTTGCATGATAGATCTATCGAATTGCCTGTGATATTCTTTCAAGTTATAGCTAGTAGATAAGAGGTCCTGATATTTCTTTTGACATGTGAATGCGATGATGTGTTACCACTGACTTGTGTTTCTAGTCATGGGAACATCTATTGGCCTATAGAAATAATATCTTTAGGTAATATGGAAGTCTGATATTTTCTAAGATATAGTTCCCAATCATTGTGTGCTTTCCTGACATCTTCTTAGTCTTCTGTCAAACTGGATTGAATTACTGAGCCATTACAAAACCTATTTTATTACTCAGATTTGGCTTGAGACTGCCCGCATTTGATGAATCTTTATAAGTTCTAGAAGTACCTAAAGATTTTTCCCTATCTCGAGTGGCTGAACCACATCAACACAAGCAGGCGCTGATTAACTGAGCTTTTAATCAATTGCAGTGTCTAATCAATGCTTCTTTTTTCCAAGCATTCCATAGTCATGGTTTTTGGTCTCTGAACTAGTCTTGGAAAACTAAGAACTGAGAGCCTTGCTTTCTCGCTCTCACAAAGTGGGTATGGTTGGGTGTTCTGTTGTACATTTCTACTGCACCTTGGAACATTGGTTTATGATTCAGTTTCACCTCCACATGACATGCACTCGTGACTGGGATAGTATAGGACTTTTTTTATTCTACGTCACGAAAGTATCTTTTCATGGACATATTCTTCTACTGTGACAAACTTTGAATTCTATTATATGCTTTGGCAGTTTGTTGGAGACAAAGTGGCGTATGCTCTTTCTCGAGGCTTGAAGGTCATTGCTTGTGTTGGAGAGACACTTGAGCAGCGAGAATCAGGGTCTACAATGGATGTAGTTGCTGCACAAACTAAAGCAATTGCAGGTGATGCTGATTTTAGTTTGAGCCTGTTGCATGTTCTACATACGCTTTCTTACTTGACGATTATTTATCTGCTCTTTATGGCAATGTATATCTATTATTTGAGTGGGCAGTTTTGTGTAGTTGGGTGCTTCCCATGGCCGAGACAACTTTGCTTCATGAATTAGAAAAGAAACAAAAAATGAAAATCATGACAAGGCCTTGCTTCGGTGATCAAAATGGTGTTATTGCTCCTTAAGTTCAAAATTTTCCCTAACAGAAATGAGGATCACCCTTAAGGTTTGCAGCACGCCTTCCTCTTTCTAGGACAAATGACTTCAAATTATAGCCCTTCCAGTACCTTCACTCTCCTGATACAAAAGTTGTCTGTATCCTAGGAAACTGGTTTTATAGGGGCTTTGATTTCTTTCCTGATGAAAAGAAATCAGAGGGTTTTTTATGATTGACCGAACATTTCCACATAAAATAGACTTTCTTTTTCACCCATAACTGTGTTGCTGAAAGACAAAGATGATTGGTTCAATTTTCTCTACCATGGTTATTTTGTAATTCTTTCTACGAGCCTGATGCCTCCTGTCCCAGCAATTTCTGTCTTTTTCCACTCACTAAACTTTGTAACAACATAAAACACCGGTCTGTTCATAAGGATAGTAGCCTGGTTAAAGTTTTTGGTTCTTTTGGTTTGTTGGCTTCATTTACTTATTCCATTGTGGCCGCATGGCACTCATCTTTCTTCCTCTCCTACTGGAATGCTACTGAGCCTGTAGCTTTTTGTTCTCTGCCCCTATAAAATGTTTCTTAAAAGAACTATGCAGACTGTCGTTCAATATGGCCTTCAGTACCGCCTCCATCCTCCATGTTATTTAAAAAATTCCTTTCAATTATCCCATTAATCCCCTTGCCATCTCAGTTAAGGACACCTTTCCATTAGATTTAAAAGTTGGGACAAATTTAATGCACTGTTGATATTCCTACTTTAAATGGAAGGACTTTAATCTATATATTTGATGAACAGAATTTACTAAAATTTGCGTGATGTGAATGCATGTTATGCTAATGTACTTAACATTTCCTCTAATGGCATGGCCCTAAATCTGTACATATATCAGAGCATTGATGTCCTGTTCTCATCTCAGATAAAGTAAGTAGCTGGGATAACATAGTATTGGCATATGAGCCTGTTTGGGCGATCGGAACTGGCAAAGTTGCAACCCCGGCTCAGGCTCAAGAAGTAAGTTGTTTTCATATTCATTGATTGTTCTTTTGATTGGTTAATGTTTAAATTCCTTTGACTCTTCATTTATTATTTGAACAATAGACATGATATAGAGAAACTTTAAGGTGTGCTTCTTTTTCTTTTGATTGAATTTTATAATAGATGTGCCTTCCAATTGATGGAATGTCTATTTAGGTGGATCCATTCCATGCTGTCCGTAACATTATTGTTGGGAACAAGATCGGGTACTGTTCTGGGATCAGAGCAGGATCAATGGATTGAGGATGCCTAGAAGCTCCTTATGATAGGGATCAATGTTCGTACACTATTAAGTCAACGAAACTCGATCCCTGTGTATTAGGTATTGCGTTCTTGAAATAGGTAGGATTGAGTAATAAAATTTCTGGGACTGAGATCCCTTGGTCAAGAATCGAAGTTCCCCAGTGCAATTAAATAAGGTTCCCTGCCACTGGAGCATAGTTGGAAAACGATCCAAATGTAGGCTGGAGTGAATGATAAATTTTATAGGAGTAAGCTCCACATAGTTGAAAGATGAGGCCTTTGAGTACATTTAACTAGGGCTCCCAGGCAGCGGAGTCCCTAACATTTTTGAATTAATATTAGGAAAATTGTTTCATGTGGGCTGGATCGCATTTCTACATATGCGGTCCAGAAAGTGTAAATCATCCATCTTTATCCATCCTAAAGAGGGATGCAAGTAGGTGTTCCATCTAAAAACGATGGAAACTAATGGTCCAAATGTTTTCTTACTAAAATTATTATTTTCAGTTTTTATAATTTATGTATTTTTTCATATTCATGATCTATGTTAGAGATTACATGTCCTTGAAAATTAAGTCTTAAAATCCTTCTCAAAAATGGATTTATTTAGAGGCCCGCATAGAAACTGGGTCCTTAATATTATCAAAGCTTAAACTTTTTTTAAAGAAATTAGAAATTTTGATCATCCTATAGTCTATTAAATTGTTAATTTGTTATATTAAAAAAATCAGTTCATTAGTAAATTATGACGTTATAGTTTGTCTTTTGATTTTTGTAAAGTACTAAAATTCATGGCCATTTTTTTTCATTATATATATATATATATATATATATATATATATATA